TATAAATTAAAAGTTAAAAGTTTACTTTCTTTGAAAATGATTTTTTTAATGTGGTAATATTCCTGACATCCATTCTAAGTATGGTTCTTCTAGCTAACTCAAATTTATCCTTGAAAACTTAGCTTATTAGTCACATTCTGCTGAAGGCTTCTGTAACTTCACACTGTGATTAAGGTATGTTTCTTTTGGTTTTTTCCTTTATCTCATTACACTGTCATAATTGATTTACTCTCTCCTCGCTATCTCTCTTATCCCTTCTAATTTCCTTGGGGGCAAAGACCACATTTCTTATTTTTCACCATGTTTTCCATCGTCGGTCTCTCTGTTTAGCACACTCTAGGATAAAGATCGTGAACAAATAGAGTATGTAAGTGCAAGACTAAGCCATAACTGCTGCCGGAAAACCCACTGGACATGTGACCTGCCCAACAGCCTCACCATGCACTTGTCCAGGTGGGTCTGTATGACATCAGGGTCTACATCCTTCACATCCAGAACGTGAAGTTCTGCTTTCACACCATCCAGCACGCGCTTACAGTCAAGCATGCGCTGCTCAAAGTTAGCGGGCTTCTGGAAAAGCTGGAACTTTGTGGACACCTCTCGAAGTTTCCTCTGTTTGCGGAAATGAATATAATCAGCAATTCACATCAGAATGATAATCTCTCTCATCAAATGATATTAGTATAACATATACTGCTAAAAAGCTATAAAGTAAAGCACTAACAAAACATGACCAAAAAAAAGAAAAAGAAATCCTAAATGACCTCAGTGCAGTTCCCCGATCACCTAAGTGAACTGCACGGCCCAGTGACATGAATCACTTGACACTCAGGGTCTCAATCCCGGAGATAATAAATTCAGATAATAAATTTGGACAAAGCTGGCTGGCCTTGCTGGAATTAAAACTTTTTAAATTTTCTCACCTGTTTGAAAAATATAGATCAGGAACCTAGAACTCAAAATACCCTTCATCACAAGTTCAGACTGAAATTCAATGTCACTTGGGTCATTAAGGCACTGAGTGTCTGAGGCTGCATCCCATGCGAACTCAGCCTGCCTTGTGCCTCAGCCACACCAGTACTGACAGGGGCTCTGTGTTAAAGAAAAAGTCAATATAATGCTAACTTCTAAATCCAGCTCATTCTTTCACTTCTCAACTCAACCATAAAAATCAGATTGAATATTTTTTCCACCCGTGCAACAATTTGTTTCTGCTCCCTGAGATGCAATGCACCTTCAATGTATCACCCCTCTCCCGTGGTCTCCATCATAAAGACACCAAAGGCACCCGAGTAATCAACTCTTTCTCCTTTTCTTTTTATGCCCAACATATTGAAAAGCAAAAGGACGCCCCTCACCGTCTTTACCTGTAGCACATCCGTCTGACTTCCTCCTCGAGCAGCCCTGCCCTCTGGGGAAGTCGGGAGCTGAGAACGCATATTTCTTCTCAGCTCCTCTAGGGTTAGTTCATGGGCCGAGATCTCTGCTTGGATTTTCTACGGAAGAGATTGGAAAGGGGAGAGGATGTCCTTTTTTAAAAAGTGTAAAAAGAAACAATACAAAAGTTCCATATAGTTATGCAATACATAATATTGTATTTTATGTAACGTTGCCCCCGGACAAGCTTTAATAAGTTTGTGGTATAATAATAATACAGGCTGCTGTATTGTAAGACTACTGTGTGCTAGGCACATGCTAAATTCCTTGTATTTGTCATTTCTAATGTTTACTATTTATTTATTAAAGACAATTTGTCCTAATTCCATAGCTAAGAAAACTACAATTTAAAAATGTTGGTCATTTACCAGGGTCTCACATAGAGAGCGAGAGAACTCCAGGAGCCAAGTGCTGCCCATAGTAAGGTTTATCCTTCCCGTGAACTCTGAGTTTTCCACGGCAGAAGTTCTCTTGCAGCTGAGGAAGTGAGTACCTATGCTCTCTTTTTGACTCAAGAGCCCTTAAATCTATGGCAGTACCTGAGCTTCCTGGGGAACTTGGAAAGCGTCTATCCTATCAGTCAAGTACGTGGTGAGCTGTTTGTCCAGCTCCCCCAAGCTCTCCTGTAAGACTTGAAGCATGTGATCAGTTTCCCGCAGGACCTGGAGCTGCTTTTCCAAAGAAATCTGCTTGCTCTCTGCCTACACGGGGGAGAAATTCAACCATCAGTTTTGCTCAGCACAAATATAAATAGCTGAATACATATGTTCTGGCCACTAAGAAAAGTCTAACAGAGCACTAGTTCAAGACATTAGCCTTCCCGTAAATAATTAATAACTACTAACGGTAACTCTGAAAATGTCCTTCTAGGACCTTACACACCTTGTGGGTGAATTACTAATTTTTACTTCTATTTGTATATGACAAAATTTAAAAATGTAAAGATTTCTTGTAAAACACATTAAACAGAGGATAAAAATTTGTTATTTATTATACATTTAGAGTGTTTTTAGGAATCAGCAATATCTGTCAATAAGAACGTAAAATTTAACGAGAACATCTATCAATGAACATCTGAATCTCTTTTTTTCCGAAGTCTAAAATAAGTTCTGTTGAACCACCATTTGCTGCACTTTGGATTAAAGGCTTGATGCTATTCATCTAAACATCAACAGTTATTATTTAATATGTGCTTGAAAGCATTGAATACCCACCCAAACTTTCTGTAAAAGAACAGTGTCCTTTCTCTAACTAGTGACATCGACACGCACGCAGCGATACAACCTGGACATGAACTAAGAGATTGTGGCTTTCATAACAGCTTACATCAAATCATGATCGCCCTAATATTTACCACGATAATATGAGTTATTATTCTTATATACAGCTATGATGTAATGTTTGATGGAAATTAAATAGTTCACAGGTAGAAATAATCTTAAAGATAATTTTTTTTAAAACAAGTTCTGCCTGCCTTATAAGTATTAGGTCTATTCTTCCCTCCCTGGTATGTCAGTGCCCTCCTAAGTGTTGGTTGCTAACTTTAACCAACTTTAACCAACATTAAAGCCATTCCAACATTAAAGCTCTCTATGATACGGAGCTTAGGGTCAGCTCCATCTCATAAATACCCAATCAACACTCACACAATTCTTACCAGATGACTCAGCTCTTCGTATCGGCTGTTAAAAGCCTCCAGTTTCTCACTGATTATATCATCGAGAATCCCTCCGTCAATCAGAGTCTGGCCAAGTTCCCGGATCTGGGTGCGATTATCTGCTGGGTGGCGCAAAACAGATTCCAGAGACTGTTCCAGGGACAAGGAAAAAAATAATGCCTTTACTAAGGCAAAATGTATCCAGGATCCTAAAAGCATACATTTTTTAAACAAGTAGCTCCATTTACTGGAAATCTATCTAAGGAATAGGACTAGAAATTAACTATATGACTAATTCACAAAATATCCATCATGGTACTAATAAATACATAAAATTGGGAAATCCATATGAATAATATAGGATGATATAATTTCACACAATTTCAAAAGTTATTAATTATATAGAGAAAAGCTTATGATATGATTCAATGTTTGAAGGCAGAAAATGGTGCTATACAAGCAAAATTATCTCAACCGTTATTAATTATATTACTAAAAATAGGTAAAAAATTATCTTTTTTCAACATATACAGAATAGAGGCACTGTTTTATACACACACTTTACATATATAAAATCTAATTAACCACATGGGCTAAATATTATTCCCATTTTACAGATGAGAAAACTGAAGGTCAGAGAGGTTAAATGATTTGCTACCCACACAGTCAAGAGCTAAGATTCCATCTTGGCTCCAAAGCCTTTATGACCCCCAGTCCTTTGATCCAGTGTAACTACCTCCTAGCGCATATACACAAAAAATGATATTAGGAAGAAACACATAAAACGTTTAAAAGTGTTTATCAGAGTTTGCTTTATACTTTTCTCTATTTTCCATATTTCTAGAATGTACATGAACTCTCATACTGGGAAAATATTTTTTAGAAAGTAAGTCTTTCACAGTTTTCATTTTTTCCAATCTCTCACTCTGCTTTATTTGAGAAGTGCCATCTTTTCTCCAGCAGAACATCCGTCTCCTGGAATGCAGGTACCACACTTCACTTACTCCTGACGTTCAGGCGTCCACTCAATTCCTGCTTCGTGCCATTGCATTTTTAAAAGCATATCTATCTTCTTTCTCTCTTTTTTTAAGCAAACCTACCCCTCATTACATTGCAATTCAGTTAAGAAACAGTTATTAAGTCACCGTGTGGCACACACTGTGCTGGGAACTGAGGAACAACAAAGAATGGAAGAATCGGGTACATTTCTTGGCCTCAAGGAGCCTGAGGTCCAGGCGTAATGACAAGCTCCTATGACAGGACCCCATGTCTCAGCTACTGTCCCCTCAGCCTGTCTTTTAACTTTTGATATCTGAAGGTAACAGACCAGAAGCCACTGAAAACTGAGTCACCGTTGTGCTCAGTGAGTAAAAATAACTTGAAGATGAAGCAGGAGAGCAGTTGTCCCAATAACAGGGGGCAGAGCTTTCTCCAGAGACTGGTAAAGTAAACTGCAAAACCACTAGAGTGTTGTGCCCTGTCTAAAATGTACCGACTGCCACTCACGGGGCTGATGCAGTGGGTCACCAATAATCTAAACACACACGACTGTATAAATACTTCAGGCTACAGAAGAAAACACAAGTTACACTGAAAACTACTGAGGAAGCAAATGAGTTTGCCCAATAAAGTATTATGTTCCTCATTTTAATTCACGTGCAGTCTCATCGCAACCAAAGGAAATGCCACCGAGAACGCGGGTTCCAACCTCTAGGGCTTCGTTGACAGCATCCGTCTTCTCAGGCAGGACCTCTGTGCTCTTCATCCGCTCTTCCAAGGTGTTTAACCAGGTGGTTTCAAGATCCAAATAGTGAAGCAGTTCAATCCAACAGGACCAGACCTCCTAAAGAGTACAAAAATTTAAATTAGACAAGAAGCCATTTCGTATATCATCCCTCGAGTGCCACACATTCTCTTTAATCAATAATAATTTCATTTAGATGTAAGTATATCTGGGAATTTAGAAACTGATGAAGTTGGATTTTCAGATAAATGAAATATAAAATTGAATTCGTCAATAAATCATATTAGACCAATTGGTGGGGGAGGGGACAAAGAGGAATGGGCAAGAGGCTGCCTCCCTCTTCCCATTAAAATAAATTCCAGGATCTGACTTAAATGTCAAAAATCAAACTGTATAATCAGTAGGAAAAAAAAGGAGAGAAATATTATTAGTTTGTTTTTTAAATAAAAGGGAAAAAAATCACTCAATTGTAAAATTTTTAAATAATCACATAGGAAATTAAAATCTCATGGGCCCCACTCAATTCCAACTCAGAGCTAACTGATGTGAAGAGTTTGCTGTGTAGCCAACTTTTTCCTAAATGCAGAGGACATCTCTATTTAAGAAGAGAGCCATACCAGGCTCAGCAGCTCATGCCTATAATCCCAGTACTTTAGGAGGCTGAGGCGAGAGGATCACTTGAGGCCAGGAGTTCAAAACCAGCCTGGGCAACATAGTGAGACCCCATTTGCGGCTCCCTGAGCCCAGGAATTTGAGGTTACAGTGAGCTATGATGACACCACTGCACTCTAGACTGGGCAATAGAGCAAGACCCTGTATCAGGGGGAAAAAAAAAAGAAGACGAAGAAAGACAGTGAGCCACATTTTACCACAAATGGAGTCATACTGTTCCTATTGTGTTAGTTGCTATCACCCATTCCTTATCACTAAATTTTCCATCGCGGATGGGAGGGCTGGAAACATTTATAAATTTATACTCCCTTATTCCACAGAAGAGGAATCTATCTGAGTGGTAAATTTAGGAGAAAGAACTCAGCTTGGGGCCTCCTGGGTTTGTCCTCTGTGGGATCTACCGAGCTAGTGAAGGCACACTCTAGTCTGTGCTCCATGTGGGGCATGCTGACCAGAACAAGGGTCAGCAAATGTTTCTATAAAGGGCCAGAGGAAACAGTTTAGGTTTTAGGGGCCATATTTGGTCTCTGTCAAGGATTTTTCTTTGGGGGGAGAGAGAGAGAGAGTATGTGAGTGTGTGTGTGTTCACGTGTGTGTTTTACAACCCTTTAGAAATGTAAAAACCCTTCTTAGTTAATCAGACATATAAAAACAAGGCACAAGTTAGATTTAAACCCTCAGCCATAAGTTTCCCTTTGGCTGAGGGCAAAAGGGAAAAGAGGTTTCTAGTCCCTACATTTCTACAAGCAAAAAGCAGACCAAAACTCTGCTCGGATGAAAGCACAACCTCATTTCTTAGGGGAAAGAAAAGATAACTCACAGAAAATCACTCCCAAGAGGCAGACTGATTCCTATTCAAGTAGCTTTCTTACAACTAGTCTCAATTATACATATTTATCTTTGCACAAAATTGATTCAGAACAAGCAAGTAATGAGTGAATTTAGGTTAAATATGGCAGTTGCCATTTTTTACCATTTCAGGATTTCCCACAATACAATAATTTGTTTTAGGTTGAACTGAATTTAGATTAAATTATAATACATTGAAATGCTTCTTAAATCTTCCAATATGACAAAAGTCATATTAACATAAAAACAAACAAGCAAAAATTTAGTTTTATTAAAAAAAATAAAACCTCAAGACAAGTAAACAAGTAATTATTTAGTCCCTCTTCTTCTTAATAGTTTTACAAAAATAAAACCTCATAGAATCATCTATGTCTTAAATCTAATGTCCAGAGAGAAAAAAAAGTACTTTATCTAAGGCACAGCAAAATATCAGCATATTTAAATTCTACTTTTCCTTCAGATAACTCTCTAACTTTAGACACCACTTAAAATAAACAAATAAACTTCATCTCCGTGTACTCAATCAGGCAAAACAAAGGAGATGCTTATAATATCTTCGGAAATTTTTGGACTGGAACAGACACTAAAGATCATCTGTAACATGAAAACCTTGATTGCATACATAAAAAAGCAAAGTCTGAAGATACTAAAAGATGTGCCCAAGAAATTTCCAATAAATGGGGACAGATCTTGGTCTCCTTTTTTTTTAACCCATGTTTCATTTTTATCAATCTATTCATTCCCTAAGAACTACTTTTCCTTTATGATCCAGTATTGGAAAGAAAACAAAGTTTTTTCCAAGATTTAGAAATGGTCAGTACATTACAGAGTTTGGATCTCAGAAAGGCATCGCTGAGAAAACATAACATACCTCTAGCGTGTGGCACTTTCCTCGAATTCTATTACAAAGAAGTTGGTAATTCTCCAGCACGACATTCAGCTCAGACGTCAACTCCTGGCCACCAGAGGGCACTTTGGCAGCTAATAACTTGATGTTGTCTTTGAGAATCTTCACCCTCACCTCCTTCTGCAACACATCCTCCTTTGCCCTCTGTTCCAAGAAAGGACGAACTTGAAAAATGTCTGCCTTTCGCAATAACCAATTTCTTTCTTTCTTTTTTAAATAACTAAACTAAAATTAAAACATCTAGATGATTCTAACTGCCAATTTGGAACATTATGTAGGAATCACTGCCGTGAGTGTTTTTGAAATAAGATTGCTAATTATAACATTTTACTCACACATCCCAACATACATAGCACCCACAAACATTTTCATTTCATAACAGCAGTATTAACATCTAAGTTATCCTAAATTATGTTTACTGACATGAAATAGTTTCAAATTCTGGGTCCAAATAACAATCTAAGTGAATTAATTTTAATTGATCACTGGAGGTCTAAGCATATTAGAATGAAATAAATAAATTTTCACAAAAATTGATATGCACCATACATAGTAGAGGTATCCTTTAAAAAATTCCCCAAATGATTTAAACATTTTTTTCCTCCTAGAACATAGGTACATGTATCTTTCTGATAATTAACAGCATTTCAAAGATGATAAAGTTATACTAGGACAATCCAGAAATAGCTGTTTCCCTGACTCCTCAAGATGAAAAATCTCACATTCAGGAAAAACAACTTAAAACAGCCTTTCACTTTCCATTTCAGCTTTCTCTATTACTTAATGGTTTTCAACTTACCTGAGTTGGGGTAAAGTAATTAAATGTAGTGTTTTTTAAATTTATAATGACTGTGTGAAAAAATAAAAATAAACAGAATGGCCCAATCAAGAA